CGGTTCAAGAGACGGCCCAAGAGGGCTCCACGACGGCCCAAGAGGGCTCCAAGACGGACCAAAGGAGACTGCCCAAGGGGGCCCCGAGACGGCCCCAAGAAGAGCCCAAGAGTGGGAACACGAACAAGAATTCGAGCCTTCTGTCCCAGCCCCCAGCGAGCCCCCTTGCCTCCTCGTATAGTTGGCACCTAGCACTCTGCGCTAGCTGGTACTGCGGCGGAATTGCCGCAGACAGCTGGATATCACTTTGCGGCAAATTCACGGATTCGTATAATCGGAAGTCCCAGGAAGGGCATTCTGGCACGATATACGACAATCACGACAGTCACGCTGGTTCGCGGGGCTGGAGACCCAGGAATGGTGTTCTGGCACGTCTAGGGTTGTGGAAACGTAGCAATCACATTGATTCGTGGCGTTGAAGGCCCAGAATTGGGGCTCTGGCACTATTGAAGATGATCAACCCGTTGTCTTCCCATGAGGCACTTTCCGCGATGAAGATAAATTGTAGGGACCGCAAAAGAGGTAACTTAGAGAGAGGGGGATGAGGAGGAGGAGGAGGAGGAGGAGGAGGAGGAGGAGAAGGAGGAGGAGCAGGAGGAGGAGGCGGAGGAGGAGGGGAACGAGGAGGAGGCGGAGGAGGAGGAGAAGGGGGAGGAGAAGGCGGAGGAGTAGGAGGAGGAGGAGCAGCAGCAGCAAATACATGCTGCCCCAATGCACGATTTTACCCGCTGACTGCACAATTCGCACTGGAACAGTGAATCAAACAACAAACAGCAGCTCATCAATGATGGTGCAATCAACCCCTCTCTTCCAAGTTACCTCTTCAGAGGTCCCTGCAATAATTTACGTCAGAGTGAGGGGGCCAAACGGTCATTCACTGTCCCTGGGTGCGTGGCTGAACAAGGAATTCGTGGTGAGAATGCTGCTTGTTGCGTTGCTGGTGTTGCTGTTGCTGGTGTTGGTGTTGCTGTTGTTGTTGGTGCTGTTGTTACTGGTGCTGTTGTTGTTGTTGTTTAATGTTAAGTATGAAACAATTGTTATGTTCGGACCAATTACAGGAGCCCTGGCTCTCTCGCCCAGACGCTGGCTACATTTTCATCGAAAATGAAGCCCACGCTCGAGCGCTTTGAGGGACCGCCAAAACTGGCCTCCCAACAACAACATAGCTCCCGCTCGAGACTTCCTCCTTTTTGACGCAGGGCTGGTGTTCTTGCTCGCCGCCGAAAGCCGCCGTCCTAACAAAACCAGCGCTCTCGCTCGAGACTTCCTCCCGCTTTACCTTGGACTGGCGCGCGAGTCTTTCTCTGATCAGCGCCGCCCCCGGCAAAAAAAAACGCTCCCGCTCGATGTGTCCTCCCTTGTTTTCTCAAGGCGGTGCTCCTCCTCGCCGCCGAAAACTGCCGCCCCGACAGAACTAGGGCCCCCGCCCGGGAATTCCTTCCGTTTTACGCTGGACTGGCGCCCTACTCTCTTTTGAATTAGCGCCGCTTTCAGCAAGAACACGCTCCCGCTCGAGGCGTCTTCCCTTTTTCCTGAAGACGGTGCTGTTCCTGGCCGCCGACAACCCCCGTCCCGACAAGACCACGGCTCCCGCTCAATGCTTCCTCCCTTCTTACTCAAGGCGGTGTTCCTCCTCGCCGCCGAAAACCGCCGCCCGACAAAACCACCGCTCCCGCCCGAGACTTCCTTCCGTTTTATGCTGGACTGGCGCTCTATTCTCTTTTAAGTTGGCGCCGCTCCCAGCCAGAACAACGTTCCCGCTCGAAATGTCCTCTCTGTTTCCCCGGGACGGTGCTGTTCCTCGCCGCCGACAGCCCCCGTCCAGACAAGCCCACGGCTCCCGCTCGATGTTTCCTCCTTTTTTACTCAAGACGGGGTTCCTCCTCGCCGCCGAAAGCCGCCGTCCCAACAAAACCAGCGTTCCCGCTCGAGACTTCGTTTTGTTTTACGCTGGACTAGCGCCCTACTCTCTTCAGCATTGGCGCCGTTCCTCCCTTTCTATTCAGGGCCAGGTCCTTGCCTCACCGCCGACAGCCCCCATCCCCACCAAGGCAATCATGTCGTTCGATACTTCCTTGTGCTTTACCCTTCGCTGGGGTTCCACTGGCGGTCTCGCATCGGCGCAGCAAGGCAAGGGCATGTGTTTCCGAGGCGGGATGTGTTGAAATTCCTCGGAGGAGGTGTTTGCAAGACCTCATTGGGCGGGAGATCTGGGAATGGGAATAACGGACCCCGCTATAGAACGAGAGTCCCCCATGATGTGGATGGTTATCCTGATGGCCGCATGCTTCGCGTGGAAACATCGCGCAGGAGGGTAAACTTATTGTTGCTGTTGAATGTAATTACTAAAAAATCATTATGGTTGGACACCTTAAAGGCGCCCTGGCGCTCTCGCCGAGGCGCCGGCTGCATTTTCATTGAAAATGAGGCTCACGCTCGAGCGGTTTGGGGGACCGCCAAAACCGCCCCCCCGACAACAACAACAACAACAACAACAACAACAACAACAACAACAACAACAACAACAACAACAACAACAACAACAACAACAACAACAACAACAACAACAACAACAACAACAACAACAACAACAACAACAACAACAACAACAACAACAACAACAACAACAACAACAACAACAACAACAACAACAACAACAACAACAACAACAATTACTAGCACGTGGGGACACTCCGTTCTCACCAGTGCCAGGGTTTTCATAGGAGGCGGGCAATACCCCCACTTTGTGGGGGGGCCGGTTCAAGCTCTACCAAATTTCCAAACGACTCTTCGCCACCACCCACACCCAGCTTCCCGCCCTATGACGTTCGGACACTTCACTTCG